GCATCCGACTGTGTTTGTCTATGTGTGGCTCATCTAACAGGTGTCTTTAGAATACCTTCCTCTTAGGTTGAGCCCGAAGGTTAAGGCTAAAAAGCGAGTACCCTGGGCCACTGTGAGAAATCATTTCTCCGATACGGAAGTCCATGCCACCTTTGTTCGATTGTACGATGAATACAGTTCTTCTGTCTTTGTAGTTGCTAGATGTCCAAAAACTTACGCAGTTGCAAGTTCAATGACCACAGATTTTAAAATCCCACGCATATATTCAAATGTAGAACACAGGTACCTCACGGAACAAACTAGTTCCGGTGACATCGATGAGCCGTTCCTTGCAGCATGTACTGAGCATCTTTATCGCATAGAACTCATAAAGTAACCCAATCTCTTGTGATAAAAACGGTTTATTCGTGGAATTTAACTATGTCCATGACAGGGATTTACTTGCGCGATATTTATTTACTACGGTTTCGCCGAGTTGGCCATTTTATTTACCAACGTTTCATCACCAGTCTAGGTGACGTCACCCGTGCGTGGGATCAAACGCTTTCTTCGCAGAAGCCAATGAAAGGCAAATAGGAGTCGGCTGACGCCAGCTACTTCGTCATTCCTTATATAGAATTTTGGGGTTGTCAATTCTGGTTTGTTCTGATTGGTTACTCATTGTGCGCCAGAATGTGATCCAAGTCACATCAAATCAAAATGGTCTTTATGATCACAAATAGGAACAGTTTCAGTGGATATAATGAGGCATATCGTTGGAATGAAATTGCAAGAAAAGCGTAAAAAGAAGAAAACTTGCATGCACATCACTCAGGTAGGCGTTCACGCGTGGTGCTGATAAGTTTCTTCTTGTCTATTAGAAAACAGGATAAACCTGATGAATTATAGCTACGATAACGTGTTGTGCCAAAGAACAAAACTCTAAATTTAGGGCGTGTAGACCAGTAGGATAGGGCTTTAGATAAATCAGCGTGGATTGAAATGGGTGATTTAAAACCTTTGCTGTAAAGTTACCATGTACACCTAAATACTCAGTAAAGATGAAGTCAACAAGAGACTATTTGGGGAATCCGCAACACTTGGAAATGAGCATAATGGAACACACAATCAATGTGAAGTCGTTTCGTAGAAGATCAAGAAAAATGATAAGTGAGAAATATGACCGATGGGGAAGAACTCAGGCGGTCACGAATTTGTAAATTAAATAGCAGGGTACTGAAAGCATTTTGAGTTTCAGGGTATAGAATGATAATTTTCACATCTCGCGGAACGTTTCGTCAACGTATGTTGACCAAGGTAGATTGAGAGATAAATATACACCAAGGTACTAAGCAGTGGATGAACTGGGTGTCTTGTGGCAGCTTACGAGTATAGGGCAAGAAGTATTTGCCACAGTCAGACGTTTGTCAGTGTGGAGAAACGAGAAAGTCACATTGCGGCCTTTAGAAGCGCTGAGAATAAGGAATCAGGAAGACGACCATTGCTGAAGCTCATCTGACGCGCTTTGGAGACATGTTGATACTTCAACAGTTAGCACAATGCGGCCAAAGGCTATGTTGTCCGCGTATTTATGTCCAATAAATTTTGGGTGATTAGAAGCATTTCGGTATATAGATGGAATATAGGAAGAGAGGATTACTCCTTGTAAAGCACCCTAGTTATCACTAGGAGTGTAAGATTTTTACCGTTTAGTTGGGTAAAATGAGATCGGTTTACTAAGTAATTGCTCATCAAGTCGGATACTGCTGGTTGGACACCATTCGCAGACAGCTGGTTAATCAATATTGGCATGTCGACATTTCCAGAAGCGTTGGTGTAATCAAGGAAGGGGAGCCGTACGTACTTGCATTTCGTAACCAGTGAAGATGCCATAGTGAACAAGGTTGAACCTCGGGGTTTGTACACAAACTAAGATATGTCCGCGGTCGGAGTGCTTGTTAAAATCCAAGGCACAAGTAGTCGCTCGAAGACTCAGCGTGAGGGATGTACAGACCTTCAGACGACATTTCGTGAAGCCCTCTTTTGGTACGCGTGTTATCCTGACAGGCCTACAAATATCGGAAATAATTCCACCTTGAATGCACTGATTTAGTAGATCCGTCAAGGTCTTGATGCTGGTATTGGCACACTATTTCAAGACAACTGGTAGAAGTGAACCGGATCTACCAACCGACTGTACCCACGGACGCCGCGGATTTTTGCTTTCCCTTGCTGGATTCCACTTTTGCTTTGGAAATACTGTGTTATACGTCTTTCCTGTGTGTGAATGCACCAATACTTTGCTTTTGGTGTATTTCTCCATCTGTGCAAAGTTGGTGGATATTAGTTGGCTACTGTCGGAGATCTCACTGATTGGCCCAAATGCCGTCTGTGTCCGCCACCTTGGATTTGTTCTACAGCAATCTAAATGGTATCTGCCAGACAATCAGCTTGACCGACGGCATTTGGATTCAGCATACCAGCACAGAAGTTGCAACGAACAGCTGCCGCAGATCTGACAGTCACAATGGCACGTACTACTTGCCCACGGAAAGCTAAGTCCAAACCTTCCGAATTAAACGTTAGTTGTGGCGTAGACAGCTGTGTAAAACTTGTGCGATTCGGGATAGAATGCAGAAATTGCCGAAAATACTTCTATTCTCGATGTGCTCGCCTTAGTCTCAACCAGATAAAAAAGCTTAATAATACGACTGATTCTCTCTGGTTCTGCACTGAGTGTACCTCCCTTCCACTCGTGAGATGTATAACTGTGTTGGCGCACAAGTACGATAAGGTGACAAAGATTGTAGAGCAGGCAGCAGCCGTAAAACTGTCCTACATGAACCAGACAAATCAGTGCCTCGAACTCGAGGCTCAACTTCAAGCTCCAATACAGCACAGTGTGATGATGCAGAGTTAGCCACCCCGACACTAGCGGCTGCTCGTAAAGATGCGTTCGCCACACATTTCTCAACACGGTCCCCATGGACGTGCCAGGCTGAAAGGGTGGTTCCATGCATCCAGTGTGTAACAGGCTGCGGCCTAACCACCGCCTTGTGTACGTTTGGTACGCATGTTTCCCAAATTAGATAGACAAGAATGCTACTGTTGTGCGTGTTGAATGAGTGTGGGCCGGCTCCGTTGATGTAACGTGGCTCACTTCCACAAGGCTCCCGGTCTTATTCTTTGGGGTTTACACTGGATATGGGGTGTGTGCTTGGAGCTGTGGGTGGTGCAGCGCAAGCCACCCATGATCCCTCTAGGCGCAGGCGTCCTGTGGCTGTCCCCGTGGAAGCCGCAGTAACAGGCAAATCTGGAACCGGTTGCCGCTAACCATTGTTAAGACACACTAATTCGTTCGTGAAAGGTAGCGTTATCCAATTCCCGTTTACTTGTTGACTTGATCCGGTGGAGCCACGTGACTCAGTTCTTCTAAGCGAAGTTTGTCCAGTAGGATCATCTAAAGCCATGGAAAAGCCATTATAATATTAACAAAGGTTAAAAGAATGAGAACTACATGAAAAATGAAACGTTAGTATTTGCGCACCGTATTTCTTTCATGTCGTTTTAGTTGTTGCGATGTTGTAAAGTTAAACCCAGGCAAAACTTCATACAAAGCTTGCACTCAGTCTGATTTCGCGTCATGTTCGCAAATATTCCAGCGAGAGGTATTCTTCATCCTTGGATGCCCGCCCCAGAAGATGCTCGGCACCGATGGTATCTAAACAGAATGTCAGTACTTTGACGTCTAACCGCCGTGTGGTCTTTTGATGCCATGCAATTTCTTCCAGTGAGGCATTTTGCGAGTTAGAGTAGCGCAACACGATACGCGGTTATGGCATGCGTAGAAAGTAACTAAGCCATCGCAGCCGATCCAACGTTCCTGTTTTACGTTACTAATGAGTAGGATGGGAAACAACGAAATGGAGTGACGGAAACAGGGAACTCATGGAGCAATGTGCACCACACGCTTTTCGTCCACAGTGATTTATAATTCCGCTCTGTCAGACTTTCTCGTTTCTTTCTATAGTAATCATTGTTAATGAAACACAAGCCGAGTCTGTTGAGAGGAATGCTGGTATTGGCGATGAACGGTTTTGAACATAGAAAAACATTAAGCAGAAGACCAGTGGCGAACTATGCCTGACCTATACTCAAAACAACTACTTCGGCTTGTGGTAGCAGGGAACTTTTAAAATAAGGTTAGAGGCGATGTGGTTGAACTGGACAATTAGAGCGCCCACCAAGCATGTTTTTCGATTCTCGAATTGAATAGCAATCATCTTCACCATGTTGTTTATGCGCTAATTCATAGCTTCTATTCCGGTTGCACAAACCTGTCCCTGATTATCTAATCGGAGTCAAGGGGATGGGGGAAAATGATATATACGGAAGTAATGACTATATGTGTAGTTTTTCTTTCAATGCCCTCATGTGACTTCACTTATGTCGCGCAATATCGTCTCTATGCTTTGTATGGAGCGACAGAGAAAATTACTGGAAATTGTCATTTACTATGAATAAGGAGCCAGGAAAGCGACGACGTGTGTCCCACTTCAATACTCCGAATGTCGTTGTATGTTCACCTGTCTGGTGATGTGAAAAGGAGTACAACTGTTTCAAACGCGCAACATGCTGCCGTTTTTCTCTTCCACGCACAAATGCGATCAAACGGCGTTTGCTTTGATAGTGACTGGATATTGGGAGGCAACATGATATACTTGGTGAGAAATCACCACCTAGAATTTCAGCCTACAAGCCGATAGTTGCTTACGATAGCCTGTTCCAAGCTAAAACTGAGCAGCTTCTAAACGCTCATCACCGTTAACAGTCGATCAAAAAAACAAGAGCTTAATTACTCTGCTTCACTAATTCGCGGCTACATCCTACCTTAAACTTGGAAGCTGGATTATGGAATCCAGTTTTTCATACATGTAATTAAATGCCAAGTTCAGATGTAATCCCCTCTATCAGGAAGCGCAGTCTTATTGTCATCCGGAACTCTTTTTCTTATTCTTCAGTCACCAAATTCAATACGATGTGGCAAGGAGCTGGTACGTCGCATTTATTTGCTGGCATTTGCAACGTGTCAAATTTACACTTTCAGTGCTCGCCAGACATATTTCGTCAACTAAAAGTAAGTTCTCGCGTAGACTAAATATTGTTCCCATCGACAGGGTCCACAAGGCGAAAAGGGCCGAATGGTAAGCATTATTCGGGTTGTTTTCGTGCGACAGTCAATCCGTACTTACATGGCACTTTGCTGGGTCACGTGACTTACGAACGCCCTGCGAGATAATGGAAAATGGCGCGTATCGCTCTTGGTTTACTCAGTTTCAGCTCCTCCGGTCTAGACAAACAATAGTATGCACAAATTAAAACTATAAGTTGCACTAAAGCAATTTGGGTCACATAGAAGCACACTAGACTTTATTGCATTAAAGGAGAGAATTTTTACAGGTATTGTATCTTACTGAATGACAGACGGGTACACGTCCAGATAAATGAGTTTTCTCATCTCACCCTTTGCTGTTTGTTGAAACCTCTAAGCATGAACTTGGATCTTGATCGCAGTTGGTCACTATTTGAATTAAGATAACCGCGTGTTGTGCTAAGGGCTCAGTTTACTTTGTACTCTACGTAGTCACTCATCTGACAACTGGCAGTTTAGGTGGGGAATAGCGGGAATTTACTGAGTTCCCATTGCTTTATTGAGTAAATAATTACTAGGTAGAGTACCGAGTGCTTCGTGGTGGCGAGTGACTGAGATATGCCATATATATGTCATTTACGGGCAACACTGCTCCAGATACTTTCTAGACCAACGTATTCTTCCGAAATCCGATTAGCCACCGAGCCAGTTGTATAAATTTAGAAAGAATTAGAGACACAGTATAACAGTATTGCGATATTAGCTTATTAGTGGCCTGATACTTTTCTATTTTTTAGTTACTTGCGCTCCGTTAGCATTGACAAAATCGTTAATTCTTCCTACCCGTCTATGTTCAGGGTCCTCCGGGTATTCCAGGAGAAATGGGACAGTGTCCGATTCCAACTTGTTCCCAACCACAGATACTCTACGAGAAGGTGAGTTATCGTGGCGGCTATAAACGAAACTACCATCTTTGTCCACACGGAAACACATATGGTGGGTCTCCAGCTTTCATCCACAATCTGCATACACATAAGCTCATTAGAAATTGTCTCATATGAGCAGTAGTTCCAGTTCCACAGAAGACCAGGTGCAATGAACATGCTGACGAAGTGACTACCTGGGCTAGATGAAACATACAGCGACTCTGGAGCATGTACCATAGCTTTTGCAATAGTGGAAATTTGTAAAAGACAGTACTACAACTTCAGAAGCATCGTGTCCACAGATCAATACATGTGGATATATATTTACTAGCCTAAATACAGACAGTATGCCATCTGAACCATGGAAAAAGGAAGACAATAGTAGAAAAGAGAAAATTTTTGTTTTTGTGTTTCACTTACTTCGTGTTAAGTATTTTGCGGTTGAAGTATAGATGTCAGAGAATAGGACAGAGCAACACTGATCCCATTGCTCTCAGTTGCGTTCCATAACATCGAACGCTTGTGACCAATGTGAGTTTGTCGTTTAGCCCCCCAGCCGGGAACGTGTACTGGCCCGAAAGATGATTCGCATGACGTCTCATGTCTCGTGTCATTTTTTCACGTTATTGGTTGTTCACCGCGGCGCTTCTTCCAGTCTCTTTCGGGGAGCCCAAATTACGCCCGAAGGGGAAGGCTAGTGGCTGGTTTACGCAATAGCTGGCTGAGCCAATGCACGCAGTGTCGGAGGATGACATTTTGGAAGTACAGTCTATTCGCTTCAACCATTCGGGCTAGGATTTTTGTGTTGCTTACATGTTATTGCTACCACACGCGAGCAGTCCCTCGCAGACAGCCATTGTCAAGATCTAACCATCTTTTCATGTCTTCCAACCTGACAGTCCAGGTCTCACATTCGTACTACTGAACCATGCGGACCGGGACACTGTACGCCTTGCCAATGACCTTGAGCCTGATAACATGATGACGTCTTCTATGGACTCTAATCTGGGGAAAACAACGCGTGCCTTTACGATCCGTTATAGAACTTACTTTCCAACAATGTCCCACTCGTGATGCAACTCCCTTGATAAGTGGAGCATGCGGTATGTTCCTAAATGTCACCAGCAGTGGTGAGCGCAGTCCAAAATATCTGCCAACCTTGGAGTAGTGTTCCACATTTGGCCAGAGTGAAGTACAAGCCTTACTTGGATGGCTCCACCGCAAAGCGGTTCAAGGTGATTTAGACTTGCTGCGGATCTCCTTACAGCAAAGCGATATTATCGATTTAACCCAAGTCCTCGACCTTGTCCATAGAGTGAAGCTCAATTTCGCAGTTCTGAACGCTTACTACTCTTTGGATAGCATCTTCGATTGCGGTTAAAGAGCAAAGGTGTCAAAAGAGTAACCTTGGCAAACACCACTGGGGGACAGCAAACGAAGAGAAAAGCCCGCTGTGAACCTTAAGTTTTCCCGACATGTGACTGCATAGTTCCTTCAGGATGGTCAAAAATTGCCGGACACCTATTCCTTTAGTAAGTAGTCTCGCCACATAGTTTTATTTACGGAGTCAGATGCTGTCCAGATGTTCAAGAAAGCAACGATTGTTGGTTTTTGGTGGACGTACACATTTGCTCGACGCAACCTCGGCTTGCATGAAAATCGTTTGGTTTCTCTCTGGAAAAGCTATCCACTCCCTGAAGGTCTGCGAAGTCTGACAAACACAAAAGTCTTGGACGCAACAAAATTCCATGGTGCTTAGCATAATCTTCGTGGGAATCCTTCTTCTCGATCGAGACAACGACTGACTCTTTCCATGAGTTTGAAACCTTGTTGTCAGTCCAAAGTATGGTAAACAGCGATAGGGTTTAGTGAGAAGTACATTAGCATCATGGTTAAAAAGCTGGTGGAATGCTATCAGCTCCAGGACTTGTAGTATTTTTCATAGATTGAGTTGCGCTGCGTGTATCTGCCTCTGTGAGATCATCTGCTTGGACAGACCAAACACCGTCTTATGGAAATGTGGGTGTCACGGAAGACTGCGCCGGGTATGTGAATTAGAGATTAAGCGCCTGTGTAGTTTAGAGAATTTCATGTCCTCTAACTCACACATTGTCTGACTGATATCGTGTGAATTGTTACTGGTGGTGTTAAGGAGCTAAAACAAATTGCGATGGTTTCCAACCCATCCAGCGGCTTCCACCTCAGCCGGTTGTTTTGACCACCAGTCTTTATCATTAAGGCAAAGACTAGCTTTCAACTGTTGAGAAATATACTATCTGAGTTGGTTGAGTTCCGCAATGGCGGACGCAGCCAGTCGACGATCGAACAGTTCCGAGGATGTTGCCAGAATCCGGGTTTTAGCCATGTAGCAGGTAAGACTGCAGTTGGAAACAGTTGGTGACAGCATGGCTTCTTGTGGACCTGACCAATGTTCGTGAACTACCGGAGTAGGAAGGAGAGCGAAGTTTTCACGAAGCCTCTGTTGATACTCCGTTCTCCTCGTTGGATCCTCCTACCTGTAGGCGGTCAGTCGGGTTTGTTTGACCCTGTGTGAGCCAGCGAAGCGTATCCAAACTGTCGCGCACAAATGTGTGGCCAGTTTCAACACAAGTCGACACATGTGCTCTGCAATCCCGTATGCTGTCACTCAACTTGCCACTTATGACAATATGGTCAAATTGCGACCAACGCAGGGAGGATCCTGGAGGATGCCAGGCGTTATAGTGCAGTCCAGGATGACGAAGGCTCGCACTGAAGAGGAAAAGCTATTTGTCAATACATAGGCTGGTTAGTCTTTCTCTTTTGCCAAAAGTAACGGTATTATATCCATGAGGTTCGTTGAAGTGGCCTTCACATGAGAGCAGCCGACTGACACAGGAGTTAAACTCCCCTGCCACAATGATGATATTCGTTTCAGGCGCCTATTGGAAATGACCATAAATGTTTTAATAGAATTGGTCCTTCGCTGTACCCGAGCTGCAGTCAGTGGACGCGTATGCGATCGGAAAAAGGACACTTTTGTCGGCTTAAATTTTACTAATCTTGCAAGAGCAGCGGAGCTTCATTGCACAACGACGACATTTGACTAGAATCCAAGCAAGTAGTAAGGCTTCGGCTCTAGTACTAATAGCGATCCAGACGCCAATGTGCCCAAATGCGGTAAACTCAGCGAGTACGCTAACGGGTATTTGGGTGGATTGGAGAAGTCGATCGGTAGGGTGTATTAGAAGCCTGAAGTCGTGTATCAGTCAGGTAACTGGCATCAATTGCAAGACTCTCCAAGGTGCGTGCAACTTCATCTGTTTGTTCGATCTGCTTTAAAGTGCGCACACTGAACGTTGGTAGCATGAACCCGGTCCCAGGATGCAGAACTGACGATGACAAACTTCGTGGCTGGTGGATGCCTGAAATGTACTGTGTGGTTGATTGGCGGATGTTACGGCGACAAATTCATCGCCAAGGTCAGGATTGTTTGCCGCTGAGAAATCGCGTAACAAAGAGAGACTGGTACAAAAGGGGGGTAGCTACGTGTGTGACGTGTGTTTGTAAACTTGGGTTAATGGCGGCCGTGTAAACCCTTATAAGAGCGACAGAGCCTGATAATGAATTTCCATGGTTCTTCACTTGGCATGATACTACCCGGTTGGCTGGGTCGAAGCAACCAACTAGTTTTAGGCCATCAGTGCTCTGAGTCTTTGGTCAAAGGGCCTAAGCCACAAGACAGCGAGGTGACATAAGGGATTAACACTCGTTCGGGGCCGGTGATTGAGCAATAAGGTTATGCTACTTCCGTGTGTTGCTGATCTATACCAGGAGCCCAACACCCCAGATAGCAGCGGCAAAAACCGATGCTCTGCTTGTCTGCCGGAGTACAATGTCTCCAGGTAAGACAAAGGGCAATAAATTTATTCGGTGGCGAGTCACATCCGCCAAGTCGCGGTGGTTTTAACCCATTTTCTGCTGGTGTCCTTTTTAAGGACACCTACAATGTAACCTAACCGTTGATTTAATCAAGTTAAGCGTGAATTACTTAAAACGGCAGAATAAGTTTTATTGGTGTAGTTGCTGACAATCAGCTAGAACAAATAATACATATTACGTTCATTTGATGGAGTAAATCAGGTTTTGGAAAAATGTCCTCAAACACCCCGGCAAAAAATGGGTTGAACAGACAGTTGTGAGTTGCCATAGGGAGTGCACTTTCCAGGCGGAAACCCATCACGTCATGGAATAACGCAATCACCGGATTTACGGACTATGGATGATGTTATTTTCTGTGAAGCCTGTGATAACTTTTGAATTATGTAGGTTCATAGCTATCGATGATCCCATTTTAGCATCAAGATCAGTTTAGACTTTTATCACAACGAAATATCTGGTATCTTAAGAAGTAGGACTTTACAGTACATGTCTGGTGTAACCATAGGTGTGGATGTCTAATCGTTCTATTCTTTCTAATATCGACTCAAGCTTATGAATTTGTGAAACTCAGATGCCTAGAGAAATCGCACTTCGTTGTGATTAACCTGAAGTTGCCAAATCAGGCCAAAATGCTAAATTTAGGCGTGTGGAGCGAACGAGCTAATCTTTGTTGTCATTTGCTGGTCCAGATGGACAAACATACAAATGGAGTTCAGTAGGTTATCATGGTTAGTGTCGGAGCTCACCAGTTAGTGGAACTCCCTCGTTAGTATTAACGAATCCCGAATCTTCTGTGGTTCTATGAGGCCTGTATTTAGTATGGAAAGTCGAAGTGAAACCCCCAAATCTCAGTTCCCCGCACCTCTGTGTATTTTGTATACAATTCCGCAAGGTCAACCGTACTCCTGATCTCAGTCACTCGGACGCAAGGCGCCGATTCGTCATCGGATATGCTCTGGCTCTCTTATCCCAACTACACTGTCATCGTTTTCTCGGTGGTGAGACGCAAGGAAGACATTGGCCGGGTAATAACCGTTCCCATTTCCTTCACACGGTGTATTTGATGGAGTGTCACTTGTAAGAGTATA